CTGGGTTTATAAATCTGAACAGTTGTAATGAAATAACAAGAATCAACCAGATGGAACTGAAGCCAGTCACTGTGGGTTTTTGAGACATGCATGCTGTTTGGGGGGATTGAATAAGTACTTACCAATCCAAAACAGAGCAGATGGCAATGCCAACAGGTAAGCACTTGCTTTATCTTCCAGATATTGTGGTTCACTGAATATCCCTATTTATTTTGGGAACTTTAGCACATCTGTAAATCAGATGAAAGACAAACAGAGGTGACTGAGAAAGACTTGAATGAATTGTGGAATTCTAGGACTTTCACACTGTCAGATGCAGACAGAAAGAATCTCATCGTCTGTCAATCTTTAGGAATCATGTAGAATTTTAGGTAGCAGCAGCTGAAATTAAAGACTTAGCTGAATAAAATACAAGAGAAGAAAATGCTATTATTGCATGAAACCCAAAATTAAATAAGTGGGAACAAGAGTAAGAAGAATGGAAGTGAACTACCTATAATAGAAGTGAAAATGCTCATATCCAGTGTCCACACGAACACTGTGTTCATCTAGTGCAAAGACCTTGGTTTCTAAATACCATTCTCCACATAAAGGAACCAGAGTTCCTTGGAAAAATGGCTGAGGCAGAGAAAACTACTGGTGAATTTAAATGTTCTTACAGTGTCAGAAAGCAAGAAAGTACTCAATTATTAATGGGGACATAACAAAAAAACCATAAGAACTAGCTTCAAAGATCCAACTGGTCAAATTTGGGACAATTGAAACATTTTTTTAAAGGAAATAAATTATAACATTGCATTAAAAAAGGGTCAATAAAAATGTATGGGGGAGGGAGAGGAAAAAAACTCTTTGTAACAAAAGAATGTTAGCTATTATGTGTAGAAGGAATGATAAAAATAAAATCATCACTTTGCAAACAACAGTGTAGGAATTGATTTAGGCAAGAATCACCAAATGATGCTAAAAACCATAGGGTGAACGGATTGCCACATACTCAAAGTTTCACCTAACATATGATTTATTGATACAAAGGACAAATAAAGGTATTTTTACAATAGTGAAAGTGTCTTAACCAAGGGATCAAAGTAAGCATCACCAGTAATGCATCAAATTAGCATTATGTATCTTTTGATAAGATGCAAGGGAAAGTATGCAAACCACCTATGGCTATGTGCAAAAAAAATTTAACCTGAAAGTAGTGGTGAGAAAACAAGTTCATACCGTAGAATATTGCACAAAACAATTGCCTTGGATTTGACAAACTTGTCAAGTTTGTAAAAGAAAAAAATAAAATAAAAACAGAGAAAAAAAGAGGCAAAGGAATGGATATAGATTAAAGGAGACAAGACAATTTAATGCAACTTGTGATCCTCGAATAGATATAAATAAATAAATAAATAAATAAATAAATAAATAAATAAATAAATAATAAAAGCTACATTAACACAACTTACTAGGAACACACATGGGACAAATGGAGAAATTTTAATGAAACTGTTTATTAGATATTATTGTGCTCATATGCAAAGTCCTAGATATGAAAATAATATTGTGTTCATATAAAAGGAAGTCCTTGTTCTTATGGGGCACCTGGGTGGCTCAGTTGGTTGAGTATCCAGCTTTGGCTCAGGTCATGATCTCACAGATCATGAGTTCGAGCCCTGTGTCAGTCTCTATGCTGACAGCTCGTAGCCTGGAGCCTGCTTTGGGTTCTGTGTCTCCCTCTCTCTCTGCCCCTAACTCACTCACATTCTGTCTCTGTCTCTCTCAAAAAAAAAATAAACATTTAAAAAAATTTTTAAAAAGAAGTCCTTGTTCTTATGAAATACATGTTGAAGCATTTAGACTAAAACATCATTATGTTTGCAACTTAATTCCAAATATCTCAGCAAAAAAGACATAAAGATAAAATGGATACATTGATAGATATTTTCTTTTTCTTTTTCTTTTTCTTTTTTTTTTTAAGAAACAGAGACAGAGTGTGAACAGGGGAGGGGCAAAGAGAGAGAGAGATAGTAAATCTGAAGCAGGTTCCAGGCTCTGAGCTGTCAGCACAGAGCCCGATGTGGGGCTCGAACTCACAAACTGTGAGATCATGACCTGAGCTGAAGTCGGACACTTGACAGACTGAGCCACCCAGGCTCCCCTATGTTGACAGAATTTTTAAAGCAAATGTAACAAAAATGATAAAAATTAGAACTTATAAGGGAAAGATATATGTGTGCCCATTATACTATTCTTTTAACTTTTTATAGGATTTAACTTTTTTTTTTAATTTAGAAAAGATAATGCTCATTTCTAAGCGGCTCAATGCAGTGGCTGAGGAAACCCCTGAAATCCCAAACAGATAATAATGTCTCTTGGCAGCTATGTCAACAGATCTTCTGCAAGTTCCCACTGGTACATAATGCTACTTGGTCATCACAGGTCACCACCAATGGGCAAAATAAAAACACAATGTAAATAATATCAGATAAGAAATTTTCATTTCCATTCAAGTCACATCTGGCTTTCTTTGAGAGCATGGCAGTTAAGTGACCAAAATTCGTTGCTAGGCACAAGAGGCTGTATAGAACTTCTTAGAATTGATGACAGTCAATCTGTTAAAACTGGTGGTAGGTTTCCCTAATGAACACCGAAATTTCTACATAAAATTAAATAAAAAATTTAAACAAAAAACAAAAAACTTTGCTTAAACTGTTAAGCCTGCTAAGTCAAACTGACCCACCATACCACTCTAAAGCTTCTGAAAAGGAAGTTGCCTTCTGTTTTTGTCAACATGGAGAATTGAAGTTACTTGATGGTTTAGAAAATTATTCATTCATTCAACAAATATTGATTGAGCAGTGTTATAGGTGCAACAAGACAGAAATAAGCAAATATGTAATATAATGTCAGTGCTATAAGGGGAAAAAAAGAAAGCAGTGTCATGAAGGAAAAGGATGGCAAGGAAATAAAAAAAATAATAATTTTTGGTAGGGTGGTCAGACAATGCCTATAGAGATGAAGAATTGAAGATATAGCGAATGTCCAGGAAATAATTTATAGTCCAATTTGGCCTTGCATAGCATACATATGTAAGAAGTTGGATTTAAGGCTGACAATAATGTTGGGGCTAGGGCTGAGAAGCCTTGAATACCAAGCTAAGTTGTTTAGACTTTATACAATGGGAAATAAATGAAATGAAATGATGTAATCAGTGTTGTGCTCTTATTTTTTTCCCAAAGAATTTGATTTTGTATATTAAAGTTTTATAAATTCAATTTCTTCAAACCTCAAGGAAAAAGCAATTTAATTTTCTTTACAGCCATATTCTATTGATTGCCCTAAAGGAAAATGTGCATATTTTAGTCAACTCTCAATTATCTGTACAACATGGAAGCACTGTCAAGAAAGGAGCCCAAAATTTGTGTCAAAGCCACACTGTGAGATTGAGACCATGATCTGATTTCCTGAAGCAACCAAAATTGTATGAGGAGCAGTTTCATTAAAATGTTCCTCTGGACAGCAAGCCAATAGAGAACCTGACACTATGAGGAGTTACCCTGCTGCTCATGAATGTTTGTTTTGTTTCTACTCAATAAGCTTGTTGGGGAGGAAGAAGTTTTCTCTGCCATTCAAGATTCTTCTGGTTGGTCTAAGTTAAATTGACATCAGGCAGATTAACAGGAGAAAAATCAAATTTAATTTTGGAGATACAGGAATCCCACATATATGAAAGATTCAAAAACAGAAAAGTAAAATGAGGTATATTTATGTATGCCATCCTGAACCAAGGATAAGGGGGCAGAGGTGTGGGACTTCAAAAGGAAGAAAAGGAATTCACAAGAGATGAAAAAGACTAAATGTTTGGCAAACAAACGTTTACTGGGCCATACAGAAACAATGAGACATACAGAGAAATTTTAACAAATAGACTCTATGCTAAATTCCTTCCTGTCTACCACCTCTTTTCATATTATAATGTAGTTATCTATAGTGATAGCTCTATTTCTAGAGCAGGTCCTCCATCTAAATTCCTTTAGGCAGTTAAGGAAAAAGTCAAAGTTTTCTCCTGAGTTTTTGGTTCTTGATTGTCCTCAGCTCAAAATAATCTGCATGTCAAAGTGGCACATCTTGGGGCAATTCATTCTAAACTCCTACCAGCTAATCTTTGATCTTGTGTCACAAGTGTCTCAGTCGACCAGGGTAAATCCAGATAAAGGTGATACAAAACAGATTATATATTTTCAATAGAAAGATTAACATGGAACGCAGATGATCCATGTATAGTCAACAATGCAAAACACTGAAATTATACTACAGAGTATCAACAAATATCCACACTTCAATACTTTGGAAATGAATGAAGATAATAAATAGAATTATTTTAAATTACTCAGGCATTAGCTCTTCCTCTGTATTTCATTACTTATTCATTTATTTGTTCACCAAACATTCACTGGAGTACCAGACAGGCAAAAGGCATTGCTGTGAACTGTGAGGAGCAATGTCCATAATTATTTCCACTTTCCCAGTAGGAATCTGTTATAATTCAATGTAGCTTTATAATTTTAAAATTAGAGCCTTAAATTTGGATAGCTGTACAATCTAAATTTCTCTAGCATTGTCTTATATGTTGAGGCTCTAGACTTATAAGGTTTCCATTCATAAGTTATGTGGTATTGGACAAGTTAAATATCTGTCTGGGGATCATTTTCTCATCTGTGAAATAAAAATAGTTCTCTCAGAGATTTGCTCTTACTGAAGTGAATCAATGATGAAAATAGACAATTCTGAGCATCAGAAGACCTTCTAATTTACCTGATGCATGATCCCTATAGTTCTGAAAAGCAAAAAAAAAAAGTAATCTAGAAAAATAAGGGCTTACGTCTGGAGTGTGTGTGTGTGTGTGTGTGTGTGTGTGTGTGTGTGTGTATAAAGATGACAGTGTATAACTGAGGACTTGATGAATGATATTGGGGTGAGTATGGAGGGGATATGAAAGACTAATCATTTCTGAGCAATGATGGAAAGATTTTACTACTGTCATTTACAACTATTAATGTTTCTACACTTGATCTGAGCTCAAGAAAAACAAAATAAGTGCATATATTCCATAAGGTTGTTGAGAAAACTGAGATTAGGCTTATGAAATACTTAGAGTCTAGCACTTAGCAATAACTCGGTCAATGTTTAGTGATGACTATTATTTGTAATTATTATCATTAGAATAAATGATGAAATTATTAAAAGTATTATTAGAAGCTCAGAATAAAGTCTTAAATATTTTTATTATGCTAAAAACACAGAGATTCAATATGTATGTGTTTGCCTTGTACCAAGAAGGAAAAGAAAACAGAACCATGTTACAAATTACAATATAATATCATGTATTTATAGCTTCAAGATACAAACAGGAGTAGTAGTTATTCAACTGATAGGGACAAGAGGGACTTGTAATGCCTAATTACCCCTCCCTTTGGGATTAGCATAAAGTCACTTTTCCTGATCATTAGAGGGTACAGGTTCACCCATAAGTATGGACCAAATGAATAATGAACAGATCCACTGACAGACACCTTGAGAAATAAGATAATTCAGATGGTCAAGCCTGACACCTGAGGCACAGAATTCACTTTATAAACTCATCATAGTTGTGTTAGCAATAAAATCTCACACCTGTTTTTTAAATTTTTTTTTCCTTGGTGGTTATTGTAGGTGATTTTTCCCCCATGTATTTGATATCCACAGGGCAAATATTTTCACCCTGCTCAGTGAACTGTGCTAAAACATCTTTCTGAAACCCTTCATTATTACCTTTGAAGGGATATAGGTCTTTAAAATCTCTTTACAGAGAACTTATACAGGGGAAAAAAGCATTCTCATCCTCCCCGCCCCCAAACACACACACACACACACACACACACACACACACACACACACGACCATTATAAGCCCCCACTGGGTATATACTATCATCTCGTAATTAACAAAAACAGTGCCTTATACTTGCCTTTTTCTCACTTCCATAAAGCTGCTGGTTCTTGAATTTTCCAAGACACTGAGGAGAATTTTAAAGCTATTAGTGAATTGTGGAGAAATATTGGTCTTAAGGTGCTGTGTTTTGTTTGTTTGTTTCTTTTTTTAATTGTCTTATTTGTATTTTAAAAAGTTTAAATACAGAATATATGGCACTGTAGTCACAGGGTTAGAACAAGTTGCTTCTGGGGAACTTCTTCAGTTTAATCATCTTTTCCAACCTCACACTATTCCAGACCATCAGGAAAATGAGAGTATTTATGCCAGACACCCCTGACCTTAACATGTATTTCCTTTCCTTCTCCTGAAACCATTTGCCTGGGACTTTATCCTGAAGTTTTTAACAGATAAATGGGGGAAAACCCAACTGTACATTTCCAACACCTATCTGATTGTTATATTCTGTACTCATTCTAGAATCATCACATGTTATGATGGGAAGTTAGACACTCTCCTAAATATAGATGGCAAATGGAAATCCATTTTCATGGTTGGGAGAAAATTATTCAGATTCAGATACCAACCCCAGTCCCAGTAAACTAGTAACCCCCAACTAAACCCCAGTAAACCCCAAGCTAAGTAAACCTGTACCAGGTAGCCACCTTCCCTGACTTCATTTATTTATCTATAAAATGGTGATAAAAATATCTCATAAGATTGTTGTGAGGATAAATGTGATAATTTATTTTTAAATGTGTTAAGTATTGTGATGCCTGGCATTTAGTAAGCATTCACTAATTTGTGGCTATTTTACAGCTTTCTTCATGTTTGCATGTTCCAATTATAAACACAGACTTTCAAGTCAGAACCAGGTTCAAAGAATATTATGTATAAGATATTTGTGATAAAATTCACCTTTTTGAATCTCGGTTTATTCTTCTATTTTCTCAAAGGCGTTCTGAGGATTAAATAGTGACCATAAAATACCTAACATACATCCTGGAACTTAATAATTACTCTGTAAGTGATAGTTTCTTCCCCCATTTCCATTACTATATATCCCAGCAAATATAAAAATGTAGTCAACATGTAATAGTCATAAATCTAAATAATACTGTTGACTAGTCCATTCTTTGCTATTCATTGCCTGCCAACTGGAAAGCCAGTTGGAAACATGATGGCCTTGGCTTTGGCAAATGAGATATTGGCACAAGTGCACTGGGAAGCCTTTTTTGAAGGGCTTTTCTTTTCCCGCCCCCCTAATAAAAGGGACAGAAGAGGTTAGTTTCAACCCTTCCCTCCCATTTTATGCTTTAACTGTGTCCATGATTTCTGGGCCTGCAGTAACCGTCCTGAGACCACGAAAGGAAGGCTAATATAATTGCAGAGATAGCAACCCTGGCATTATCCCATAGATAAACCAATGCCAAGAGCTGCCTATTCAGCATTTCTTGTTAACCAACGTAGTAACTATTATTTGGAGAGGTGAGTGTTGGTTGGGTTTTCTGCTACTTTTAAAGTGGTATCTCCCACTAGAGATATTAAACCTTTTTCTGTCTACAAATTAGCCCCAAGAAACCAAAAGAAAAGAAAATATATAATTTTCACCCCTGCTAACAATTTGAATCTAATCTTTAATTTTATGTATTTTTATTTATGTATGTATTTTATTTATACATGTATGTATGTATGTATGTATGTACTTATGTATGTATTTTATTTATGTATTTTATGCATATTATGTATGCTCCTGGCCAGATGATTCCTTAGTCTTTATTCTAACATTTCTGGGAATTAGAATACAGAGTGATGCATGTAGATAATGGTTTATTTAGTTCTCTTTTCAAGTTTATATCTAAACTAAAAACTAAAGGGTATCTCTAGTTATCTTTTAACCCTTACACTTCCTGAATTATCTTGTTCTTACACTTCAGAAAGAGGGAAAACTAGATACATATTACAAGGATGATGTGAATCTTAAAGTGATTCTTTGAGGTAGGTTCTATTAATATCATTCCCATTTCATATATGAGAAAACTGAGGAATTAAGAGGCCTAAAGTCCCTTAATTTGTAAGAGGTAAATCTAGGCAATCTGGATGCTATATTATACTATTTGGGCCTCATGTTCTTTATCAATAAAATATGATGGTTTGACTAGTTGGCCTTCTACATTTCCTTTCATGTCTAATTCTCTACTTCTTTCAGAATATTAACTGCCAGTTTCTCCAATGTCTGCTGTCCTTACTACTGTAATTAGAGAGAAGTATCATCAACAGGGAGACAGTTTAGCATAGACTATGGATATAAACATGACATTTTTTAGTCACTTTTACTATGTTTATGGCCATGGGAAATTTACCTAACTTCTTTACATCTAATCCCTTATTTGTGAAACTATATATGGTATCACATAGTGATTTGATCTGAGACTTCAATAAGATCATCCATATAAAGTACTTAATGCACAGGGCTTGGTATATAATGCTCAACAAATATTAGTCATCATTTTTGTTGTTACTGCTATTACAGTAACCTCTGAAAACTTAACTTCAAATAAGTTGGTGAGAATTCTCCTGTGAATTAAAATCTATTGTCATAAGAAAACCATCACTGACATATTTGATAAATTTCATTAATCTTATCCATAATATCATATTACTAAGTATTTTATTTGATGTATGTTCTCTTCCTGAATCCTGAAAAATAAACTTGAAATTAACTTTCATTTTAGTAGGTCTATAGCAAAAGAAAAAAAAAATCCACCAATGTTAGTAATAAAACAAAAGCACCATTGTTTTAATTTCTTGGGCCACAACAACTAGATATGTGATAGGGTGGTAAAAACAGGACAATTTAATTTCAAACATTACATTAAAAACTGGATTCCATCCAATTATCAGATCCTAATAATACACATCCCAAGCTACTTAAGGAATTGATGGAAACGATTACTGAGCCACTAAATATTATCTATGAGTTTTTGAAGGACACGGTGTCTCTGATAGCAACAACTCACCATCTTTCTTTTAGAGAGGGAAAGGACAATTCTAAAAGTAATAAGCCAATCACCTTGACTAGTTGACCAGCGAATTTCCAACCATGCTCTTCAGAGCCTATCAAAAGAAAATCTTCTTAACCCCTTTCCACATGCTTTTATCTATATCACTCTTTTAACTTCAGTTGAAGTATACAGATATATGAAATTTGTATTAAAATATACATTACATGTATACATATATAGAATATAAATTTTACAAATTGGACTTTATTTTTAAGAAAGGCCTTAAGGGCTAAGAAGCCAAGAGCAAATGAACAAAATTTTGAATTACTATGATTTAAAGGACACAAGAAAAAAATCACCACGTTGTTTAAAATAAATTAAATTTAAAAATTCATATTGTTTATTTCTAAGGCTTTAGATTCACAATGTTATGTCAAATGAGAATACGTACTACCAGAATGTTGGGATATTGGAAGTAGGGTTTTATTCTGTGTTCTTTAATTCTGTCATTCATAGTATTAACACTTAGCTATTACTGAAATCAACAAAGCCCAAAGTTGGGATTTATTTAGTTAAGGAGAGTAAGTGAATGAGCATCCCAACCATGACATCCAGATTACAGGAGTGACTATTAGTAACCTTTCACCTAAGGCATTTTTCAAAAATGCCTTGTCAAGAAAGTGTTCCTGGCCCTCCTGACTGGTATGGTTAGAGGAGTACCTACCTGAACAGCTTGTGGAATTAAAATGAATTCAATATTGCTATCTCTCTGGGCCTTTTAACTCCTTCTTCTGCAGTATGCCAGGTAAATTCTGACTTTAATATTTTTTGATGAAAGGTCACCAATGTCTCTAGCCTATAATGAATCAACCTAATTGATTAAAATCACTCCTATGTGTTAAACCAGCACATTAAGTTCTGTAGCTTTTGTGGGCATATGCATGTCAGTCACTTTTGTCCAATCAAATAATACCCATAGAATCAATACCCACACATGCTTCTGACTCCTGCTAATACAAACTGATGTGGTCCTATAACCTTTTGGGTACATAAGCTGTATGCTTCCAGAGCAGGCTTCGTATGTCTCCATGAGGTCCATGTTGAGAT